TATTCAAAACTGGTTATCGACCAGTCAAAATGTTCAGGAAATTATTCTTAATTTATAAAGGAAATTAAATTATACGTCACACTCATACATATATATTAATACGTGTTATAACTTTTTTTATATAGATTTCCCCGTCATATTATGTCAGTCATACGTTCTCTCAAAGATACATTAATATGGTGAAAATCTAAAAACCTACAATGAGCGAGAAATAATATTTAATGAAAAAGAAATTACAATTCTGACAAATAGTGTTCAAAATTATAACGATACCAAAGGCCGTGATAAGGTGTTTAATAAACTCGACGAGAAAATCGAAGACATTAAATGTACCTGCACTTTAATCGTGAAAACAAAACTGGTGTATTTGACGAACATTCTGGAAGAGTTGAGAGGCGGAGGACCTATAGAAGATGTACAGGATGAACTAAACGTATTAAAAGAAGAAGCTAGTCTCATGGTGCTGTTGTTTCAAAGAGGCAAAGTCAAAGCAGGTAAGTTATTTTCTGAAAATCTTGGCGATCATTGAATACGAGAGCAACAAACATTTCATTGGAGAAACTCCATTAGAAGGAGAAGAATTACAAAGCGATATTACAAATTTTATACAATACTGCAATGATAACAAATACCTTCCCAAGAATATGACAGAGTCGGATTTGCTGTCGGACGACAATTTAAATGTACCAATTAATATTTTTCAAAATCTGCTAGCATGTGCAATCATTGCTGCAGATTATTGTAACGCCATGGAATATGTTACGATCGACTATTTGTATTTAAAACCATTATGGGATGAACACTACTTATTGTTCGGGGAAATAACAGCCTCAGTCGTAGAATTGAGTCCAACGGTAAGACGACACGCAGTCGAAGTGAATAAAACCAAGGAATACGTTGCAAACCGCCAATGGATATCTAAACCGTTCGGACACCTTAGTTACCACATGTTGATTAAACAAATTATCAGCGTGAGGATGTACACCTTTCTGTGGGTAATGTTGGTGATATTTAATAATGAAATGACTAAAATGGATGCAAACAGTATAATAGATATTTATACGGAGACAATTAACATAATTGATTTGGTAAACGAATTCATGAAATACACCGACACTTTTTTTCTTGATTTAGTTACAGAGTTTCATTGGGCAATGTCTGAAGATTTAAAGAATTTTGATAGCGTTATAGCTAGAATATCGGTAAGAGTCAAAGACATTCTAGTTGAGTTAAACGGGAGTAATTCAAATGGAAGCGATTGGGTCAGTGTTATTATAAACGAAGAGTTTAACGGTAACATGATAATGAAATTTCTTCAAGAATTTGCCGAGAACTTTGATCAGTTGGCAGCTAAGTTAAAGCCATTAAATTTTGCGATAGCACTAAATTTTCTTGTCGAAGGTCGTGGGTAATGACTAAATCATTTATTTAGCATTGCACAGTAGGCCAGTTAAATACCATTTAATTACCATTAATTTTGTTAAATGTTAGCTCCAACCTAACAATCGTTTGATTAACAATTATAATAATCTAATTTTAAGTAGATCATCATCTTTTTTTTTGTTGTAATATGTTTAAAAATTGAGTATGTTTTTTATTAACATTTATTTGTTTATTTATTTTTTAATTTTTTTCACGCTTGACGGCAATTTACAAGAAAAACACTTAAGTGTTAGTAAATAATAAATATAGTAATTAAGTTATATAAGTAACAATTATTAATAATAGTATACAATTAAAAATAGCGTGAGGCCAGCAAATGAATAGTCAAAATATACATATTGTCATATTAGAAATAAAACATTGTGTGGTCCGAGTCTAAAATTTATCTTACACACTTCACTTGGACTAGAAATCTAGGAGATTTGGTCCGAGTTAATTTTATGCATGGTTCTTTGGTTAGGGTCGTTACATAAATACTTAGTTTTCCGAGTGCTGATTTCGAAAACCTGTAGGGGTGGGAGCCAATTCTACGTTTATGAAATGTTACCCTATTGAGTAAACGGCTATCATCGATTTTATCAAGAACTAAATTATTAATAAATCTAATGTCTAACATTTTTCTTCTACTTACAACGTTAGATAAGTTTAAAATTCCGACAATGATGTGTAATTATGGGGAGGATGAGAAATTTTTAAAACATAACCAGCAAATAAAAGAAAACGTTTTTGAACCATTTCAATTTTTTAATGTCTTTTTGGGTGTAAGGGCACCATATAACAGATCCGTATTTTAAAAATCGACCGAACTATTGATGTGTAACGTTAGTACTTTACAAATAATGAGCTCAACATGAGTACAAAAAAATAAAGATGGCACTAATGTAAATCCTAAATCTTTTACCTGATATATTAGAGGCAATCATTTGTTATGAATTCAGTAATCAAAATTGATATAATTATGTGTTCTGACAAATGACATTACCTTGCATTTATTATTGTTTAAAGAGGGTCCAACTATTTTACACCAATTAACTAATTTATATATAGAATTTTAAAAGTATTCTACAAGTCGAAATAATCTTTAATATAGTATTATTAAAAATGTTAAATATGAGCGGTGTCAAGTGTCCACCTTGAGGTACAACTAATGTTACTTTTACGTTCTCCGATTTATTATTAAGTCAATCATCAAATTAAAATAAGTCGACTGTAACAGAGGTATGATTGAATTTATAATGATAACGAATTTCTCGCACCTAGCTTATCCAAAATAAGGGTTAACGTATTATGATCTACTGTGTCGAATGATTTCGAAAAATCTGTTGGTGAGCCATATTGAAGTAGAATCCGCAATCCAACTTAACCATTTTTGGATTTTTGGTCAAGTTCAGCATAACATGAGCGCAACAATTTCCGCTGTAGAGGAGTCTTATCACTTACTATTCGATACCCTTCTCTAAAGATAGTGCCAGAACGCTTTGATGTGTTGAATAGAGCTAATAAATTGGCCGCCGTTTCTTTATGATCAAATATGATCTTTAGAGGCCACGCAGAATTATCGGACGCTTTTCCGAGGCGGAAAATAGTTTTATATTGTTAGGATGACCTGTCATGGGTAATTCATTGTAGAACCAAAGTCGCTGTGGATTCAGGAACTAAAAGTTCACGTTTGACAGTCTCCTCTAAAACTCGAGAAACCACCAGTTTCGACTCATCGTCTATGCTGGAGTTTCCTAATTTGCCACTTTGTCTTTCAGAACGTCATTTTCGCTTTGGAGCATTAAATTCTCTGCTCTCATCTTAGCCATTTGAGTGCAAACAGATGCCAAGTCGGTTTTTAGATCTTTTTACTGAGTTGCTTATAGATCAGATAGTGCCTTATTGGATGCTAGTATATCTATTTTGAAGGTCTTCAAAACAGCCATTAGGTTTGCAATGGAAATTAAGAACGTAGTAAGCGAGTCCTTAATTTTGTTGTCAGAATGACTAGACGTAACTCTATGTTCTGGTTTAATTGTAAGTTTTGGTGGCGTACTAGGTATTCATAAGAAGATAGCCCTTAAGCCTAAAAACAAAACTCAAATAGACAACACTAGAAAGATCTATGTCAAGTGAAAATGATTACAGGAGCCTTGATAAGTACTTTACGCCTTGGGCAGTGTGAATTAGCAACACAATTAATTTTCAGTGCAAAAACAGTCACCACAGTCCAGCGGAGGATTTTGAATTTTATGGAAGTGTAAGCAGATGCTTATAAGCAAGAAACAAAAATGATATGTATCATTGTACAAATTATACTTCAAAAGTACATTATAACAACAGTGAGGACAATTCATGCAAGACTTGCAGTGTAATTTTTCAAAATTTGTGCCATGTTGATCACTTGTTTCTTCTTCAATATCATCTTCACTACTTTGTTCATAGAATTCAGGTACAGTTCTCTTTATCTCATCCCAGGATGATGAAAATTTTAACAATTTATCGAACAATTTACCATGAGTCAATTTCTCATCACTTTTTTTTAGGTAATTCTTTATCATGTAAATCTTTAAAGTTATTTGGTGACAAACATGCTAAATCACAGTACAGTTTTTTATTGGAGGAGAGCTTTTCTTTCATGCAAGAAATTGTTTTCTGCATCATCAAGTATAGGTTAATCTTTGTTATGCATACACCTGATTTTTGGGAACTCCTTTTAATTATAATGGCCATATTAAGTTTTTCTTCAATTATATACCTCTCTGAATTTGTTTTAAATTATGTAATGCTTTATTTACTAATTCTTAAGATTTTATCAAGTCAATTACTAACGTTTTTAGGTATCTAGATAAAGGTCCAAACATTTTAAAAATTCGAATGTAAATAATTGCTGTTAATATAATTTCATAACTCATAAATGCCTCTTTTAGATTTCTAGCTTCTGTGACACAGCCGTATCCTTGACACGTGCCGGAAACAAAATGAAAATAGCACGAAATGCGATAATAAGTGTGTCGTTATGAGCCACAAACTTCGGTTAACGATGATTTGTACTAAACTATTATTTCCAGAGAAAATTCAAAAGAAAGACGTAGTTTATTTTACACCCATACTGTTTTTTTGTTACTTTATTGTGCATTATTATTAATGTATTAATCTAAAAAAAAAATGACCAACGTATTTCAATTGAAAAAATCTCTGTATATATACATATATATATATATTATATATTTCGTCGCTTAAAACGCAACATCTCATAGCTAATTTTATTCAACTTTACAGGAGAGTAAAAACACAGAATTGACAAAATATAATCCATCTGTGGTAAAAATATCAGTTTTAATTATCATTCAGTAACAATTAATATTATAACTATGTTATAAATTATTTGATTATAGCGTTATTTATTGACTTTTATCTGAGCCCACTAGTCGACTCCCCGTGTAATTTGAAATACAATAGTGTGGCAAATGCATATAAAAAAAAAAGTTGTAATTTGCTCTTGGTAAACAATATAAAACCAAATAAACGAAACTTTTTTTATATCATATTGATAAAACCTTTTGCAATATTTAAAACGACAAGTGTACGTTTTCAAATACGCCAGACAACCAAAATATCAGCTAAAAATGTGTTGAGTGTCTAAAACAATATTACTTACCATAAGAAAACGTTATTCCCTGTACTCGAATTACTTAGCTACATTTTTAGTATTCAATTCTAACGTGTTGCACTGTTGTAGTAAAAATGTTCGCACACCACTGTTTTATTTTATTATTACATTCCATACTACCAGTCAACTTTATGATGATTGAATCTACAAACCAAGTAAGCTATCTTTAGTTACCACAATCATAACGTCGTTTGTTTTTACACCCTTAATTTTTATAAGACCCTTTATTTGCTCACTCTGTTCACTATGGACAATAAATTGTTGTAATTTCTCAAAAAATGTTCGGATCATGTCGAAATATATTTTTAACATTAGTTATCACATGCTTTAGTAACATGATTGATTAATCAGGTAATACTCGAAACAAACGTTTTTAAAAGTTTAGGCAAGGAAATATATGCACTGTGCAGATAATATTGATTTAAAAATCTTTAGCTAACTAGAAGATATTGCATCTTTATAAAGAATGATCAACTTTTTATTGTAAGATACTTAATTTCCCTGAACTTAACCTGTAATTTCAACTAAAGTTGCACCATGTTATTCCGTGATATAAATAATATATACAACTATTTTGAGATCCTCTGTTTTCTCTGTTATATATATACGCCGGTACCCTACTCAAGTACTTAAAAATATCCATCGGGACCTAATTCATTTCAATTTTGGAATTTTGGGACTAATTCAAGGTTATCCTTGATGTGATAAAAATCAGGAATTTACCAAAAAAAATATTATGCATCTTTATATATAATTGTATTTAATTAATTATAAATAATGTTTTAATAGATTTCACCGACATATTATATCAGTCGAACATTCCCTCATTCATTCGTTAAAACAGTGAACATTCTAAAAACCTATAATGAGCGAGAAATCAAATTTGTGAAAAAGAAATTACAATTCTAACAAATCCTGTTCACTCTTACAGACGATACCAAAGGCCGCGATAAGGTGTTTGATAAATTCGACAAGAAAATCGAAGACATTAAATGTACATGCTCTTTAATCGTGAAAACGAAAATGGCGTACTTGGCGAATATTCTGGAAGGGTTGCGAAGTGGCGGAGCTATAGAAGTTGCAAATGATAAATTAACCGAATTAAAAGAAGAAGCGGGTTTTATGGTCCTGTTGTTTCAAAGTGGCAAAGTCAAAGCGGGCAAATGGTTTTGGAGTTTTTATTTAAAAATCATGGCAATGATTGATTACGAGAGCAACAACAATTTCTTTGGGGAAACCCTTTTCGAAGATGAGGAATTACTAAGTAGTATTACACATTTTATACAACATTGTAAAGATCACAAATACCTTCCCAAAAATAGAACTGAGACTGATTTGGTGTCGAAAAATTCCAATGTACCCAAAGATATAGTTAAAGACTTGCACAAGTCTGCGCAAAATTATTATTTTTTTTTCGGTATGAAATTCGTAACGATTTCCCATCTATACTTAAAACCGTTTTGGACTGAAAATGAATTATTTTTTGGGAAAATAACAGGCTCAATTATAGAATGGTTGCCGACGATAAGACGGCACGCAGTTGAAGTGAATAAAACCAAGGAATACATTGAAAACCGCCAATGGATATCGAAACCGTTCGGACACCTTAGTTACCACGAGTTAGTAATCCAAATTATAGCTGTGAGAATGTACACCTATATGTGGGTGATGTTGGTAATATTCAATAAAGAAATGCCTAAAATGGATGTAAACAGTATAAAAGTTATTTATACGGAGACAAAATACAAAATCGATATGGTACACAGATTCATGCCACACACCGACACTTTTTGTTCTGATATAGTAGCAGCGTTATACTATGCCATGAATGAAAACCAAAAAAACTTTGATTGCATTATAGCTAGAATATCGGTAAGAGTCAAAGACATTTTAGTTGAGTTAAACGGGCGTAATTCCAATGGTAGCGACTGGATCAATATTGATGCAAACGACGAGTTTAGCGGTGATATGATAATGTCATTTCTCCATGAATTTGGAAATAATTTTAATCAATTAAGAGTTAAGTTAATGCCTTTAAATTATGCGCTTGTGTTGAGTTTTCTGGTAGAAGGTAATTGATGTTGTTGAAGATAATGACCAAATCATTCATCTAACATTACACTTTTATTTTGTACTTTTCGTTCATACCTCCCCCCATATAAATAGTACAATAGGATAGAAAAATCCTCGTCTAGAGACCTAGTAGAAACTTCGTCGCCATGTATTGTTATACCAATCACATCCCGTAAATAGTTATAGCACCTAATATGGTTTTACTCCCTTCCCCAATCTCTCTACGTTATAATGTATTTTTTTTGAAATGTCATTTTAAGTACAAATCGTGATATCTATTAAACATAATAAACATCTTCAATATTGTTTTCACATAATAAATGACCACGTTAAAACTGTAGTATCCAAAAGTTTATCTATGCTTTAAAAGTAGAAACCATAAAAAAATAAAAGTAACTATATTACTTATTGTAGTTTTCTAACTTAACAAATAAGTTTTTTGCATTTCTTTTTAGTTTAAAATTATTTAAGTTATTTATTTTGATGATGTATAAATAGAACATGTTTTATGATCATATTGAATAGTTGTAACGATTGACTCATAAGTAATGTTTGTGAAATAATTGGTGTTATTTGCTTTACATTTGTATAATGTTTTATTTAAAACTGTTCAATTTTAAAATACGTTAAATAAAATTTGAAACTTTACGAAATCATCTTATTATGATCATAATGCAGTGATAAAGTGTTTGCTATTTGCCGATGATTTTAAGTTGTATATTAAAATTCAATCGCTTAGTGATTATTGTAAGTTGCATTCGGAATTGGAAAAACTTTGTGATTGGTCAATTGAGAACTGGTTGTAAATAAATGAAAGTAAATAATTGCAAAGAACATTTACAAGAAGTAAATATGATAATAATCACCTAAATTGAAAAAATGAATGTATGAATGGCCTCATTGTTGCAAATTATTATAAAGATCTAGGTGTGTTACTTACTAGTGATATCCTTTTTGAACCATCTCACATATAATAAATAAATAAATAAAACCCTTAATCATAAGATAATACACTCGCTGCATATACGCATTTTGACAACAATGTTGTCATCTTCAGCGCTAACGCAGTGTTGCCACGTACAAATTTGTAAAGTTTCGATAGTTATCGTAAAATACCCAGATAACCGGGTTTCCTCCGATTTAGACTCTGCCTCAATTTCATTATTTTTCTATTTGAGAGGCAACTGCACCTACCTTACATTTTCCCAAAATTGACTTGGCAACACTGTTTTACTTAAAAATAACCTAGAAATCGTTTGGCTGCATCAGATTTACGATAACGGATATGTCAAATATGATATCTCAATATCTGATAACATTTTTATCAATGACCATTAATCATAATAAATAATAATAATAGATTTGAATATACTGTCAAAATATAATTAAACCAAAATTAAATACATAATACAAAAGTCGGTTTTTATTAATCTTTCAAACACACAAATAAAACAATAAAATCCTTCTAGTTGTCAAACAAAACAATTGTAATAACACAATTATAATAATGTTAAAATTTTGAAATAAAGCTCAATTTTAATGATATTCTTCTCATCACAGGGAGATCCTAATATAAATATTGTAATTTACAATATTAGGTAGCATGCAAATAAAACCACTAATTTTTCCTTTTGTCAAACAAAATAATAGTAATAACATATTAATAATAATTTTAAAAAGTTTGAAAAAGAGCAGTCTAAATTGATAGAAGTATTTCCTGGTATAAATATTACTATTTACAATATAAATAACATGTAAATAAAACAACTAACTTGAGGATCATATAAAATAATAGTAAAAACATATTAGTAATAGTTTTAATAAGTGTGGAAAAAAAAGTCTTAATAATACAAATTTTATCACAAGTAGCTATAAATAACATAATATTAAATAATGTACAAATAAAATAACTAATTTCTCCTTTTGTGAAACAAAATAATAGTAATTATACATAAGTAATAGTAGTTGGTGGTAGTAGCTAGTGCAATTGATTTGCAGTCATATATTTTCGAGAATCAAGAAAATTTAATGATTTCAAACGTTTAACTTAGTTTGAATTAAATAGAAATCTCTTATATAGTTGGTGAGCACATCCAATATAGAAGTTTTAGCAGTTATTGATTAATACAGATTTTCAGTTTGTGATAACTTGCAACTAGAATTTTCACTAATTGTAAGCATAGTATTGAATATAATTAATATTGTTTATTTGGGTCATGGAATATAAGTAATAAATATTATATAACCTTATATGGTATTATATGTGTACACTGAAGAAATCATGAGTAATATTTAAGTTGTTTATACAAGGACCAATTACGTCTGTAACCTAGATTGTATCGTATATAAGACATAGTATTAAGGTGTTGGATTGACCATTCTATTACGGCTGCTGTTATAATTGAAACGTACGTTGTATATATATATTATTCTCTATACTGTGTGTGTGTTTTTTATATTTAATAGTATTGTGTTAAACATATTATTGTTGTGTTTTATTTTCTACTAAAATACTAACTTCCACCAAGATATACAGGCGTATATCGCAATAGGTTATTGGCCCAGACACATAGTCTCAGGCACAACAGTGAAGCATCAGAAGGCTAAGTATTTTATGTAGTTAAAATTCACTTATTCCAATTGTTCAGTACGTACTATTTTTAAGTACGTTATCTTTTAACTATGGACGAGTCACTGAAGATTACAAAGCTGAGTAACTCGGAAGGCTGGACACTTTGGAAATTTCAAATGAAGGTAATAATTAATTCATTTGAGATAAGCGGTATAATTACAGGAGATTATAAAAAGCCAGTATATACAATAGCAACCTCCGAGAAAGAAGAGGATGCCAAGAAAAGATTTCAGTTAGAACGAATAGCGTGGTCAAGGGCTGATAGTAAATGTCAAAGATTAATCGTCACGTCATTGGAAAATGGACCGTTACAATATTTGCTAAATTGTAGTACAGCATATGATATGTGGAACAAATTATTAAGTATCTACGAGCAAAAATCTGAAGCAGGTAAACATTTATTACAAAATAAATTTTTTAGTTATGTAAAAGAGCCTACAGATGACATTTCGACGCATATCAGCAAACTACAGAATCTTCAAAACCAACTCGCTCTATCGGGAGAGAAAATCTCTGACAATATGTTGCTAACTAAAATTCGTATGACTTTACCGCCATCTTATTAACATTTTTACAGTGCATGGGACAGTGTACCTCAAGCAAGTAAAAATTTAAATGAACTTACATCTCGGTTGTTAATAGAAGAATCGAGAATGTCTCAAGGAGGTTCAGAAGTTGAAGCAGAGGAATCCAATGCTTTGACTGTCAAAAGATTTCAAAAGAAATTTTTTAAGAAGATTGGTGGTAATGTTGGTAATGAACGTAATTTTAGTAATAATAATACTAAAAAGATAGGTCCCTGTTTTTGGTGCAAGAAACTAGGTCATCTCAAGAAAGACTGTAGGAAGTATCAAAAATACCAGAAGGATCAGGGTGAGGCGAAATCAGATTCGCCAAGTACAAGTTTAACAGGTCAAGCGTTCTATAGTGAATCTTTGGTTACTGATCGCAAAGAGAATCAATGGTATTTGGATTCAGGAGCTACTGAACACATGACAAGCAACAGAGAGTGGTTTGTGAACTATAAAAAATTCAGGTCGCCAGTGGAAATAAGGATTGGCGATGGTACAAATTTACAGGCAGAAGGTTCGGGTAATATAAACATAATATGTTATGTGGGAAATAACATGAATACAAATTATTTGTCTAATGTGTTATATGTACCAAATTTAAAGTATAATTTATTTAGTACGGGCAAAGCATTAGATAAAGGTTTGAAAATGGAATCAGATAGTAAAAAGTGTATTTTTTTGAAAAACAATAAGGTCGTTTGCACTGGTGAACGCAAAAACGGGTTATACAATATGAACATTGAGATTGTACAGCAAATAGCCGACGACATGACATTGACCGAGCAAGGTAACGGACAAATGGAAGTGAATGCGGCAATCGCGGATTCCATTCAACTTTGGCATGAACGACTAGGGCATCAATGTAAACAGTACGTAATGTTCACTATTTACTATTAACCTATTTTTATAAACATATTATGTTTGTTTTGTTAATCATCTGTACTGTTTGCTTTATGATCGTATACATCTTGAACGATAAAATAAAAATAGATAAATAAAATAATAAAGCTGATCATGAACAAAATTAATTTTAATAGTGATTAAAAAATCAGCCGTGGATAGATATTTAATTTAATCATTTAGTTTCTTTAAATTTTCACTGCATTTATTAAAAAATGTACTGGATTTTTCTTACATTTTCAGATATTCACCAAGAACAAAATACGACTTCTTTGAATATAAAAAAATATTTAATTATCTCAGTATAAAAATTATAACCAAATAAACGTGACGATTTTCAATTTCGTATCGATTTAATCATTATTGATTTTTTTTTTGACATGTTTCATTTTCAACTATGTTATACAAACAAAATTGTTTGCTAAAGACGTTTTAAGAGTCTCAGACAATATTAATTTACAACTGTAAAACGTTATTCCCACCGTTCTAATGACTGACAACATTTTTATTATTACATTGTGACTTATTACAACGTTGTACTAAGACTTCTTAAAAATGATCGCGCTCAGTTATATTTTTTTGGCCGCATATTTCATACTATCTGTCAAATTTGTGACAATTGAATCAACAAGCAAAGTAAGTAACATTTATTTATCACAATCGCAGAAGTTCGGTTTTTTAAATAGGAAGATCCGAAATTTGCTTATTTTTCGACCTCTTATGTTTAAACTGTTATGATTTTCGAGAAATGACAAGATCAAAACATAATGTTTATACAAAGAAGTTTGTATAAAACATTAGATAGAAATACTACTTATCCGCCATAGCATATGACCCAAATTTCGGTTAACCTACCACCCGCCTCAAGAGCTGAAAATGTAGGTTTACAATATATTTTTTTATTCAACTGACCATAAAATCTCCCGTGAGAGAAAACTCTTGTTGCGTACAAACTTAACCTAAAATGGTTATATAAATATTATTTAAAAAACGCTGTTACGTGAATTGAAAAACAAATAGTTAAATTGACCAATTCATAGTAATAAATTTCCGAAAAATATTATTTTACTATTATCGTATAATTGGAAAAATTGCTTTATTATATTAACAACAGTCACAATAAATTTGTATATTGTATTTATAACGTACAAAAAATCGATCGAGGTGTGGAACTATGATGATTCTACCGTTGCAGAGCCTTTTATGTAAATACAAAAATATGTTTTCATTGTGTTTGCTTTTAACTATTTTTATATTTTTAATGAAAATTATGTCTTTAAATATTTTTACAAAGGAAGTTGTGCAGGCAATCGTTATTTAAAAAACTTTTCTTATCTAGAAGATATTTTATTTGAATATCTATTTAACATAAGACAACAATTTTCTTTGAAATTATTAAAATGTTTTGGTTTTTCTTTTTGGAGACACTTGCCTCATGTTATGGTAACTAGCTAGTAAATGTTTGCAAACCGCACTCCATCTCCTATCCTGAAATTCACACAATTTAAAATAATTATTAAAAACTGGATATCGACAAGGCTAAATGTTGATAAAATATACTTATTTCCGTTAAAGTTTTTATACATACATACATATGATGTATGTATTGTTTTTATAGATTTCATCGGTATATTACGTTAGTCGAAAATTCCCACATTTGTATGTTTTCACAGTAAATAATCTGAAAACCTACAACGAGCGAGAAATCAAAATAAATGAAAAAGAAATTACAATTCTAACAAATCCTGTTCACTCTTACAACGATACCAAAGGCCGCGATAAGGTGTTTCATAAATTCGACAAGAAAATCGAAGACATTAAATGTACATGCTCTTTAATCGTGAAAACGAAAATGGCGTACTTGGCGAATATTCTGGAAGGGTTGCGAAGTGGCGGAGCTATAGAAGTCACAATAAATAAATTAACCGAACTAAAAGAAGAAGCGGGTTTTATGGTCCTGTTGTTTCAAAGTGGCAAAGTCAAAGCGGGCAAATGGTTTTGGAGTTTTTATTTAAAAATCATGGCAATGATTGATTACGAGAGCAACAACAATTTCTTTGGGGAAACCCTTTTCGAAGATGAGGAATTACTAAGTAGTATTACACATTTTATACAACATTGTAAAGATCACAAATACCTTCCCGAAAATAGAACTGAGACTGATTTGGTGTCGAAAAATTCCAATGTACCAATAAACATCTTTCAAGAACTTCGTGCGTCTAGCCTTATTGTCATAGATTATTTGAACGCCATGGCATACAAACCGATCGACCATTTGTATCTTAAACCATTATGGGATGCGCACGAGTTACTGTTTGGGGAAATAACAGGCTCTACCATAGAATGGAGGCCAACGATAAGACGACACGCAGTCGAAGTGAATAAAACCAAGAAATACGTGGCAAACCACCAATGGATATCGAAACCGTTCGGACACCTTAGTTACCACATGTTGATTAAACAAATCATCAGTGTGAGGATGTACACCTTTCTGTTGGTGATGTTGGTAATATTTAACAATGAAATGCCTAAAATGGATGCGATCCGATTGAAAGCTATATACGTGGAGACACTTGACACAATTAATACGGGACGCGGATTTATGCCATACACCGACACTTTTTTTTCTGATATAGTAGCAGCGTTATACTATGCAATGAATGAAAACCAAAAAAACATTGATTGCATTATAGCTAGAATATCGGTAAGAGTCAAAGACATTTTAGTTGAGTTAAATGGGCGTAATTCAAATGGTAGCGATTGGATCAGTATTGACATAAACAAAGAGTTTAGCGATGATATGATAACGTTATTTCTCCAAGAATTCGGCGGTAACTTTAATCGGTTGAATGTTAAGTTAAAGACTTTAAACTATGAGCTTGCGTTGAGTCTTCTGGTTGAAAGAAATTTATATTTCTGGGGATAATCACCAAACTTGGTTACATATTGCAATTGTAAACATTTTTTTACTCTATTCTCTAATAAATCTTTATTGATCCTGTATTTGACATTTAAATGTCCAACGATTCTAATTAATATTGAGTATAAGTATATTGTACAATATACAATGATATAACTAAATAACAAAAAAAATGTATGATCCATTTAAAACATTTACATAATTATTTTATAATTTGATTTTAAAATTGTTATTATTATAATGTTGTTCGTTTAAAATAGTTTAAATCAGGACATTTTTTCAATAATTTAATTATTCATAATAACTGTTCTAATGCTAATTTTCAAACTATTTTAATGTATCAAATTGCAAGCCTTCATATTAAAACTGTATTTATAATGAAATTTTGGTTAAACAATTATTATCGGCATGTTTTAATTAATACACAGCTTATAAATATATTATGTATAAAAGCCATTGTTGGTCATTTATAAATTATATTACTCGTGCTTGTGATTTTAAGTAAAATTTAAATCTTAAAAAAGTTAGTTATAGGTAGCTTTTATAATATTTGATAATAATAATTGACAGTGTGATCACGGCAACAAAGAGCATTTTTAAAAATATTTATTTTCGTACATTTTTTTATATTATTAAACCACATTAGCCCAAAAAAACAGAAATGGTAATTTTAGTGTTTAAAAACGAACTCAAAATACTAATTTACAATTATATTAGTATGCTTCATTAACGTCGTGTCTCTTTAAAAAAAAGGCCAATAAAGGAATGCTATGGAAGATGTGTATGTTTTCTAAAATGCTCCTCCTTTCTGCTTTGTTCACTGACCCTACCAAAAATAGTTTTCACTTAAATTGGACGACCATCATACAACTTGGAAGTCAACACGTTAAAAAAAATTATTTGTCTTCCTCACCTAATTTATTTTTTATTATTTACACACGAGAAGCCGTTCCGATTACCGATGGGCGATACAGGAGTAAGCCCGACGACATCATTAACATTGATTAATGCGAAACGAGAACTGCTCCCCCCTCCGACATTGGTATTTAACAGTTTTCTTAAAATGCCTTTTTGCGTCTTCTAACAGTTGGACATCAAGTTTTGGACATGTGACTTACGTACATGAAAAATTAAAACTGTTCAGCTATCAAGTTTTATTACATTTTATAAATATGCACCAACAACTTTTAATTTAACGTTTCTATGCGAGTAAGTGTTTCTATATCGGTTCATTTCTATAGTTAAATAATTTATGAGATTTTTTTTCTTACAAATTCCAATTTTTACAAACTACAAAATGCGACTCTTTTGCACATAATACAATGATGCTCATAATAAAATAAATAAACGTACGAACTTTATTCAACTTAGTGTTGATGTAACCTATATTAATATATTTTTTTTTTTTTGACAAGTACCACCCATCCATTTTCAAATGTATTGTACAAACAAAATTATTTACTAAAGACGTTTCAAGTGTCTGAAACAGTATTAATTTACCACTGTAATACGTGAATTCTCAGCACTCTAATGGATGCCAAAATTTTTATTGTTCCATTGTGACTTATTACACCGTTGAACTAAGACTTTTCAAAAATGATCGCGCTCAATTTTTTTTTTTATCATTATATTTCATACCATCGGTCAATTTTGTGACGATTAACTCGACAAAGAAAGTAAGCATTATTTATTTATCACAATCACGGAAGGTCGTTTTACATTCTTATAATAAATACTTAGAAGGAATCAAAATCAAATTTTGTTTTTTTTATTTATTTTATTTATCGATCAAGACATTAGATAGACATTCTCCTTAACGACAATAACTCAAATTTCAACTAATCTATCCACTCTTTAAGAGCTACAAACAAGAAAAAAGGTAGGTTTAATGTAAATTGGTTTAATTTTTTAGACCACGAAATCTTCCCCCGAGTCAACACTCGTTGCTTGACAAACCTTAAAAAGTAAAATGAAAAATATTTTAAAACAATTATCCTAGAGTTGGAAAAATGACTTTATTATATTAACAGCAGTTTTTATAACTTTGTGTCAAACGTCAAAATAAGATTTGCTACCACGATGATTCATCCGTTGCAGATTCTCTTATGCAAATAAAATAAGACATTTTAATTGTGTTTGCTTTTAATAATTTTTATACTTTTAATTTACAATTAATGGATTTTTATGATTGTAGTTTTTAATTTTTGAACAAAAACTATTATTAGGTAGAGAACGATCTAACGAAAATAATACTCAGTGTTGCAGAAGTAGTTAAGTTTATGAAGTCTGCAGGCTGACTTGATTTAAAAAAATAATAAAATTCATAATTTACCATTTAAGTTAGAACACCACCTAACTCAATTTCCCCAACTTTACAAGAGGTACAAAAAAAAAAATTCATTAGGAAATATCTTGTGTCGGTGTTGATTTTTCATTAGGTAACCTCACCAAACCTAAAAAGTTTTCGGCAAAAACTGCAGAAAATTAGGTGGTGTTAGAACCCACATGACGATATTATACATTTTTATATAGTAATACACATATTGCTTTTATAGGTTTCGCCGACATATTACGTTAGCCGGACATTCTCTTCTTTCTTCGTCAAAACAGTGAATAATCTAAAAACCTACAATGAGCGAGAAATAATATTTAATGAAAAAGAAATTACAATTCTGACAAATAGTGTTCAAAATTATAACGATACCAAAGGCCGTGATAAGGTGTTTAATAAACTCGACAAGAAAATCGAAGACATTAAATGTACATGCTCTTCAATCGTGAAAACGAAACTAGTGTACTTGACCAATATTCTGGAAGGGTTGCGAAGTGGCGGAGCTATAGAAGTTGCAAAGGATAAATTAACCGAATTAAAAAAAGAAGCGTGTCTTATGGTCCTGTTTTTTCAAGAAGGCAAAACCAATGCGGCTAAATGGTTTTGGAGTTATTTTTTAAAAATCTTGGCGATCATTGAATACGAGAGCAACAAATATTTCTTTGGAGATACCCTATTCGAAGGAGAAGAATTACAAAGTGGTATTACACATTTCATACAACGTTGCAAGGAAAATAATTACCTACCCAAAAATAGAACTGAGACTGATGTGGTGTCAAAAACATCCAATGTACCAACTAACATCTTTAACAAACTGCGTATGTCTATAATTGTTGCTATAGATTATTACATGATAGAAGACAAACCGGTCGAATATTTTTATCTAAAGTCGTTATGGAATGTACAAGTATTATTGTTCAGCCAAATAACCGGAGCAACCATAGAATGGAGGCCAACAATAAGACAATACGCTGTCGAAGTGAACAAAACCAAGGAATACGTTGAAACCCGACAATGGATATCGAAACCGTTCGGACATCTTAGTTTCCACAACCTGGTAAAACAAATTATTAGTGTGAGGACATACATCTTCCTGTGGGTAACGTTTGTAATATTCAATAGAGAAATGCCTCAAATGGACGTGGACAGTTTAAACACTATTTATAATATGACAACAGACACAATTGTTATGGTACATGGCTATATGCCACACTCTGACACTTTTTTTTCTGATGTAGTAGGTGCGTTTCATTGTGTAATGCACGAAGATCTAATAAATTTCGATAGCATAATATCTAGAATATCGGTAAGAGTCAAGGAAATTTTAGTTGAGTTAAACGGGCGTAATTCAAATGAAAACGATTGGATCAGTGTTGACATAAACGAAGAGCTTAGCACCGATATGATAAAGACATTTCTCCAAGAATTTAGCGATAAATTTCGTCAGTTGAAAACTAAGGTAACGCCTTTAAATTATGATCTTGCATTAAGTCTTCTGGGTGAAGAAAGTTGATGTTGTCGAGGATAATCACCAAATCTAGATTAATATCTAGTATTACACTTGTAATGTTTATTTTCTGTTCTCATCTCATTTCGTATCAATTATAGGGTTGCTAAATCATATTTGACTTCATTTTTTTAAACCTCGAAATATTCTAATGGTCTTATCTATATGCAACGTACCCTGTCTGTATGCACTGAAAGGTCTCCGGAAAGTAAAGGTTTTATTTTGTGATTCTGAGCGTGAAAAATCCGAATATACAATTAATTTTTGTCTAACCCTGTAATATCCCTTTGTTATTAGACATTTTTAACCTAATTTGATTTTGTTAAACATAGTATAATAACGTATTTGGAGTCCTCATCTTTAAAAACATAAAACAAACCCCGTAATTTTCTTGCGACCTATCAGTGCATATAAAAAGGAGTATTTCGTATTTAATACATTATATAAATATTCCATTTTCCTTAAAAGTAAAACCAATGTATATTTATACAAGTACCTATATAACTAATTGTAGTTTCTTTATTAATTTAACATAATATGTTACATTAAATAACTAAAATTGTTAACTTCGATTTATGTGAGCTTTTACAAATTGTGGTCAGTTTACAATAGTGAATGAATTAATCAATTAAATTTTACTCAATTGATATTGCGAGTAAAACAAAAATAGAATACTGTTTGAAAAGACCTTTGCAAGAGCTACTCGGCGAAGAAATATACGGACATCCGCCTCCCCATTTAAGTAGTAACCATACCGTCTCTCTTATATCAGGTTACGTGAAACTGTGTTTATAAACATATAAATTTCGTGAACGTTTACTTCACAGATACTAAAGTATGTCTCATTTCCTTCTTGAGGTAATAACTGAAAGGTTTATGCAATTTATATTTACCTAAAAAAGCATTTGATACGATCAACAATTAGAACGAAAAGAACGACGATTGAATATCTAACAAAAATTTTTTTTTTAGGTCTAAAATGCATAATCCTCAAATTTTATGTGTTTCATTTTATTTAAAAGGCCGTTTCTGCCAATTAAATATATAAGATTTATATATTTCATGCTCTAATAACCTTCAATACGGAACCGAAAAAGGAATTATTTCTCCAATGATGTGTTTTTTTCAATGGCCGGACCCACGATACTTTTTAAAACGAATAATTAACAAATAATTAATAACGACACTGATCTAATTTTTTTTGTAAGATAAATCTATAGACCAAAATATATACTTGTAAGGTACATTAAGGTGTGATTGAAAACTGAGTGCTTTACCTAAATTTTTTGAGAAACTCTTAGAACCTAAGCTATCATCGACTTTTAAAAATTTCTTTAATAACTGCCAACACGGCTTTCGTGGCTCTAAATCAACTATTACCAATCTACTGGTATTTTATTCTGATATTGTTTCTACTGTTGCGACCGGTGGTAGGGTTGATTCAATTTACACCGGTATTAAAAAAAACGTTTGATACAGTAAGTCATGCAGTCTTAGTTGATAAATAAAAAATATTGGAGTAAAGAACCCATTACTTAAATGGCTGTGTAGTAATAAAAATGGGTAGCTATAAATATGGATAGGAGGGGTAATCTGTGATGTCTTTATGAAATTATTTTTAATATATGTATGTGTGCTTTTAAATGTGTCCTACTCTTCCATATCCTATTACTACAATAGTATGCTAGTGTTAATAAGCTTTCACGTACCTTATGGCTCAGCTATAGAGTGGAAATGCGTTGTCTCGCTGTCCTCCGTTGTTCCTTTGTTGTCTGTAGTGACTGAAAATAGAAGTCCCGTACGACACGCACTTACCGAACTCGTTAGTTTCTAATAGATACCGAAAGTTTTACTTAATAACACGCGTACTACTAGGTGTAATGTATTAATGATCCGGTTTGGAGTGTATTCCTGTTCGTCCAAATAAAGTTACCCTTTTCAGATATGTTTTTAAGCGTTTTTAACTTGGTGATCCTCTAGCATGCTACGTGATAACTAGTCAGAGGACTACACAAATTCGTTTAGAAGATCAGACTACTAGGCTGCGATATTTAGAAGCAACAGACCTTAAGGGTCCATATTTAACCTCACTAAACAGCCGCTACTCTAGTTGTCTTCCCTTAGCTAAACACTAATTAATTAACTACTTAACTACTTAAATTTTCCAATTGCTGACGAGAACATCCAAATTCCAAGTGAATAATTTAATTCAAAGGAATTGGATCCCTAGAGCTGCTTTACGCTTCTCAAGAGAATTAAATGAACCAGGTCAGTCTCTCGGACTATGTTAAGATAGCTAAATTAATAGACGAGTTATTAAATGAAACAAATAAATAAACACAATGTTTTGTTGTGCATAGGACTTGGAACATACACTGAGTCAAAACCATAAACAATTACGAAAAGAATCGGTTAACTACGCACACCCTGCCTTAACAATTAAATAATTGATAAGTTGCAGACGATTGTAGCTAAACGACTGAGCGGTGACAAGCCCGTCGTATTGTCTTATATAGGGAGTAAATGCGTCATTAGCAGGGGGTGAGGTATGAAATGTTTTTTAGGATAATCATCCAAGCGTATAATTGTATGGTATGAGTCAGCATATGTTATGTGTCATGTTTATTTTAGTATATCCTTTAATACTTTTATAAAATACTGTACTTGAAATAATATATAAATGATTGTGTGCGATATTATTATTTGTGCATATAATTGATCTTATATAATTGACAATTTTGATTAGTGCATATATTGAATTTAGTGCATATAATCTTATCATATATAGAGGTATTTTTAGTGCATATAATTTCATGTATTGTGTGTTGTGTATTATGTGTTATGATATTACATGTAAATGATTCAATGAGTACAATATAATCATTACAAAGTGCCACTTTCGAATTTTGGACACGTCCCCGTGGCCTAATATAAAACATATTATTATTTATTTATTTTTTTTTAATTTAAAATAAGGTTGATTAAAAAAAAAAAGTGTTATTGGGGATTTAGGTATTGCATTCTTTTTTTTACATTTCTTTTGCAATTAGGCTTTGCCTTCTTTTTTTTGAGTCTTCTTAATCTATTTTTTTTTATTTTAGAAGGATTTTTTTTATTTTTTAACGTTTTAAAATTAACAGTTAATTTTTGTACTTGAGTAGGGTGCGTTGTCAGAATTGTTTGTGGTGGTGTAGGTTGGAGAAAAAGTGTGTTTTGAGCAATCTCCTCCTTATGCCTCGTTCTTATGAATGGCATCATGGCTTGGTTGATGTTCGGTGATTTGTTTGTTGCTAGGTGTTTTGCGATTTCAATTAAATTTGGCCCACTGTCCCATGAATTAGTTAGCATCGGTTGGTTGCCGAATTTAACCGTCCATAGTTTTTTTTTTATTTTATGTTCATTTCCCCATTGAGTAAGGAAATCAATTAAGTCGGAGGTGATGTCCTCGTAAGTTCCTCTTCTTCCATCATATATTATCACGCTTTCTGTAGGCACATGACAAGTGATGAGCATCCAGTGATTTTCATTGAAGTTGAACGGGAAGAACAGATAGGTTTTGAGTAGTATGTCTTTGTTTATTTTTTGTTTAACATGTTCGAATCCTTTGTTTATGTAATCCAATAGGAAGTTAGTGTAGAAATAATAATTGTTATTAGTATTGTTAATTATTAACTCTAAGTATTTTTCGATGGTATTTTCTGTGTATATGGATGTACTTGTTATGAAGGACATGTTGGTATTGGTATAGTACTATTATAGTTTGTGTATGTTCTGGCTCGCGATAAGTCGAATACTGAGGTATTAGTAAATTGGATGGTCTCTTCTTTTGAATTATATTTTTGTATTTTGTCCTGGTGGTGAAATTTTCACTTAATTAGAATCTTGTGTTTCTAGGGAGTGGGTGGTTTTTGTTATATGCCATTTGCTGTTTTATGCAGGTGGAGGAGATAAGGTTGCCTTGTGGTTGGTTGTTTGATTTGATCCTTTGATGTTGTTTTCGTTTCCAGGTGTATTTGAAGTTGACAAAACGCCCTTACAGGTTTGACAATATATTTTGGTAGGGATGATGTGTGATAGTTATAATGTATATTTTTATAATGATAAAAAAAAAATGGAAAAATGAGAGAGGTAGAAAAAAATTTAAATAAATGTATATAATATTATAGTGGTTGTGTGCAATATTAATGTGATTTAGATATTTTGATTTTGTGTTTCATCATTTAGTTTGGAAACAATTTTATTGTGTTAATATAACTTAATAACCCTATTTATGTACATAAAACATATGGATCTTACATAAAGAAAATGTATTGTTTTTGTTGTTTTTAGGTGTTATATACCTAATACTTTTAAGAATTATATGCACATGCACTACTAAAGCTATATAATCTTACCTGGTTTGTCACATAAAAGTGCATGAATGCTTTAGTGTATTCTAAGTACATTTGAAAGCGTATATTATAATATAATAATTATATCCTTTATTGTTAAATCTCGTGAGTTTTGTGCATATGATTTTTTTTTCTGAGCGTCATTTATAAGATAATGAGCTCATATTTGTCATAAGCTGTATTTTTTTATGTGCAATTGTGTTTCGCATGCATCTTTGTGTGTATGGTGTAGTTTTGTTAAGTAAATATTAATTTTTTGAATATTTCTTATTCTAACTTTCACCAAATTATACTGTAGCAGATTTTTGATTTGCCATATATTTTTGTGTTTTTTTTTTTTGTTTTTTGTTTTTTTTTTTTTTAAGTTATATGTAATTAAAAGTTCAATAATAAAATTAATTAATTGAAATGTAAGTTAATAATTATTTGTAATTTATGTTTAAAATGTAATGTTTTGTTAAAGTGGATGAAACTGATAGTGAAATATATGTTTTATTTGTGATTCTTAATATTGTGTGCTTCAAGTCTTTTAGATAAAATTTAAGTTTAAAAGGAGTCGACATAACTTAACTAACTCATAATTCTGCCAACCTATTTGGTTAATGATATTTTGGGCTTCATCGATTATGTTAGATACCACAGTGATCGGAAAATCTGCAGATGAAAGATGATAAATATTTCCGAGTTCATTAGGAAGAGCTAGAATGTTTTCGAAGTCGTTAGTTTTGTAAGAAGTTAATATTAGTGAACCGGTAAATATTTCGTTTTGAATTATGGCGTCCGGTGGAATTGATGGGTGACTGAGACAAT